CTAGGGTTTTGAGTCCTTCATTGTTGCAAGAAACCCGCCTTGTAATGTCTCCTGGGCTCTGAGGCAGTCCCTGTCTTGTCTCCATTGCCCTCATTTTTAATATAAAAAGTGAAAGCCCGAGTAACCTTTTTCACGCTGCGTCATCTAACCAGGGCAGAGATTTCCACAAACATCTGTCATTCTACACACATACATCTACGTGAAATGTGAAAATGGTTACTATTTCTACTGGTTGATTAAAAAATAAAATGCTACTATTTCTACTCGTTGAATTTAAAAAAGGTGCTATTTCTACTCGTTGATTAAACATGTCCTACAGAATAGTGTTTAATTGACTTGTCTTCCGTGTGGTTTGGATGGAGACAGAGAAATTCCTTTCCAGCGTGCATGTCCCTTTCGTTTCGTGTCCTGTTCACTTTGTGCCCTTTTCATTTCATGTCCTGTTTATTTCTTGTCCTGTTTATTTCATGGCCTGTTTATTTCGTGTCCTGTTCATTTAGTGTCCTGTTTATTTGGTGTCTTATTCATTTAGTGTCCTGTTTATTTGGTGTCTTATTCATTTAGTGTCCTGTTCATTTAGTGTCCTGTTTATTTGGTGTCTTATTCATTTATTGTCCTGTTTATTCCGTGTCCTGTCCATTTCATGTGCTGTTTATTTCGTGTCCTGTTCATTCAATTGCAGGAGTCACACAGGAGGGAATGTCGGTGACCGTTTGGAAGGGGATCCCTGGGGGAGAAACTGCAACCAGATTCCACCTCTGAGCAAAATGCAGGTCTCTTGTTCCAACCGCACCACGTGCAGCAGGTGCCTGGACGGTGGAGAGGCCTGTGAATGCCCACAGCAAACCCCTCTTCATGGAAAGAATCACCATCCTGCACGTGGCACGTTAGACCTCGAGGCCTTGGGGACGCCGTGCACAGAGGAGGCCTGCTGTGCATGTGGGCTGCGTGGGGGACATTTGTCCAGTTTGTCCTCTTTGTGTTTGCCCGAGAGAGGCCGCGAGTGTCCTGACAGCTCTCCCCTGCATTTCCGCAAGGCGCCGTCGGATGGCCGTGTGGTCGGAGCAGAGGGTCTGGGCGAGGCGTTGCACTGTCCCCGTCCTGCGGAAGCTCAGGGCGGAGAAGGTCAAGACGACTGTGTGTCCAGCGGGCAGCCTCGTCCTGCTCCGTCCATCCGGAGCGGCCCCGCCACGGCGATTCCACGGTTTTTGTGCAAGCAGTGTGGGAAAGGCTTCAGGTTCTCCTCTCACCTGCTGGTGCACATGCGCAGCCACAGTGGCGAGCGTCCCTTCCGCTGCCAGGACTGCGGCCGGGCCTTTGTGCACGCCTCGCACCTCACCAAGCACGTGCGCTCACACACCGGCGAGAGGCCCTACCGCTGCCACGTGTGCGCCCGCGGCTTCTCCGACCACGCCGAGCTCACCACGCACGTGCGCTCGCACACCGGCGAGCGGCCCTACGCCTGCCGCCAGTGCGGACGCGCCTTCAGCCGCCCGTCCACGCTCACCATCCACGTGCGCACGCACACCGGCGAGCGGCCCTACGCCTGCCGCGAGTGTGGGAAAACCTTCAGCCACGCCTCGCCGCTCACCAAGCACCTGCGCACGCACACCGGCGAGAAGCCCTACGCCTGTCCCGACTGCGGCCGCGCCTTCACCGACCTGTCCACCCTCACCCGGCACACGCGCGTCCACACCGGCGAGCGGCCTTACGCCTGCCCCGACTGTGGGAAAAGCTTCAGCCACGCGTCCGCCCTCACCATCCACCGCCGCACGCACACCGGAGAGAGGCCCTACGCCTGCGGGCACTGCGGAAAGGCCTTCACCCACAACTCGGCCCTCAGCACCCACGTGCGCACGCACACCGGACACAGGCCCTACGCCTGTCCACACTGCGGAAAGGCCTTCACCGACTTCTCCCCCTTCACCAGGCACGTGCGCACGCACTCCGGCGAGAAGCTCTACCCGTGTCCGGCTTGCGCCAAGGCCTTCACGCGGGCCTCCACGCTGGCCGCCCATGCCAGGACCCACCGGGACACCCAGCAGACCAGGACCAAGCACAGTGGGGACCCAGGTATCGTCCAGGGTCCTGAGCGCTCCAAGCCAGGCTCCTTGGTGGCTACTGTCCACCTGAGTGTCCCTCCCTCCTCCCTGGACCACTGCAAAGTCACCCAGAGAGACAGCACTTGCATTGCACTCTCAGCCGCCCGGGAGACAGAAGGACCATCTCCTCCTTCACCATGAACCGCCTCTGAGAACCCGCAGGAGGCCCAGTTACAACGGAAGCACGCGTCCATCCACGGTGCACAGAGACCCAGCCAAGCTGGACAAGGCCCCATCCAAGCTGGACAAGGATGCATCCATGCTTCAGAAAGCATCCTGTGAAGCTTCTGGGGTGAATCCACCGTCCTGACCCACATCACGGTTCACACTAAGCCCTTCCGCATGGAAAGCATGTGAGCCGGGCTTTCTCGAGGCCTCGCATCCCGTGGACGGCTGCCTGGACAGATGCCTGACGTGTCAGTCGTGCAGAAGGACAGAGCTGTGACCTTGCTCTCTGGGCCTCTTTTTTTCCCCCCCTCACACAGTCAGGTCAAACCAGCAGTTTTTAACACCTGGTGTGTGCAGAGCCAACATCGCCAGTCATCCGCAAAGCAAGACTCGCTCCAGGATAAGGGACAAGGGGGTCATTTTGAGCTGCAGGACTTTACAAAGTGAGGAGGACTGACCGCTTGGTCTTCACGGTTGGACGCTGGTGATCTGCCTTGATGGGTTTTGCAGTGGAATCGACAACGATCTCCTGTCCCCAGGGCTTCATTTGGACGTCTCCAATAAAACGGCCCTGTCGTTTTCACTGAAACCATGTGCTTTTTTGTCTTTTTATGGTTGTGAGCAAGGAAATTCACGCATCTTTTGCTCCGTCTGAGAACAGCGAAGAGGGGAGAGGGGACGGGACAGGGTCTGGTGTCCGTGAGGAAATGTGTGTCTTCAAAATAGTCAGTGTGCAAATACACACCGCACCACCCCCACCCCCACCACCACTCCCCTTACCCCGTAATCAGGACATTTCAACTTGGGTTTTTACAAAGGGTGCAGCGTGGAAACCCAAAATCTCCTGAGTGTCACCAAACCCCACCACCTGCCAGACACACAGAGCCTTCAGTTAGGAGCCAGGCAGGCATGCGTTCCAAAAATGGGTGTTTTTAACCTATTAAGAGAAATTCAGTTCTCCTAAGACACCAGCCCAGGAGGGAATGACAGTCAAGAATTGACACACAGAATGCAAATTGCTGTTTCGTCCCACATCAAGGCCACGTCCAGTGGATGTGCACGTTATAGACAGTGGGAGTGTTGTCCAGACAAGTTGCTGGCCGTACCACATCCTGTATGTCATACCCAGTGGGAAAGAGGTGGGCACATGAACACTGGACGTGTCCCAGCTTCTCCCAAAGCCGACAGTAACACGTGACATCTCTAAACAGCTCAACGTGCCAGCCAAGTGGGCAGCCCGAATTTGTTAGCAGATCTATCAAGATTTACAGCTTAGAAAAATGGACAGAACAGAAACGGGGGGGCTGAGAATCTTAAACATCTCCTTAGCCACCACCAGTAACTCTGTCCTTGAAGGCTGGAGGGTGAAAGGCTTGTGCAATTCAAACCCGTGCGTGCAAAAATCTCAGGGACAATTCACTCCTTCAAGGCAACGCGTGATCTTTCCCCGTCTGCCGGGGGCTGCTGTAAGTTTGAAGACATTGACAGTGTGCAATCAGAGACACAGCAAAGGAGAAAGAAGATCCAAATAGAAGGGAATATCAAGGAATATCAAATAGAAGGAAATCTCTCTATCAACGAGTCAGGAAATGGAAACGTTTATTAAAATCTGTTAAAAAGAGAGAAAGGACATGGAGAATGTTATCGTCACGAAGCTGCATTTTCTTTGAAGGTCCATCGAAGACCTTGGCAGCCTTGAACAGGACACAGTTAAGACAGGGTGAATCTTTGTCTTCTTGACATCGAGCCACGTTCCATATTGTAGGCTGCAGTCCTTGACTTTCTGCAGCAAGTGCATGAGGTCCTCTTCAGTTTCAGCAAGCAGGGTTGTGTCATCTGCATTATGCAGATTATTGATGAGTTTTTCTCCAATCCTGACACCACATTTCTCCTCCTAGAGCCCAGCCTCCCGGATAATCTGTTCTGCATAGAGATTAAAAAGGTATGGAGACAGGATGCATCCCTGGTGTATGCTCTTCTCAGTTTGGAACCATGCAGTCTTTCCTTGCTCTGTTCTGACAACTGCCTCCTGGCCCAAGGAGAGGCTTTGCATCCGCACAATCTCCGCAAACTGCCTCTGAAAACCTGCTGGATGGTCAGCTGTGGGTCAGATCCAACTCGATCATATACAGCAACCAGGAGGAGAATGCCTCTCTGTCTCTGCCGTCAGAGGCCTTGACGCTGGCAAACCAAATAGCTTACAATTGTCATTGCAACCTTGTACCCACTAAAGCGTCAAACCTCAAAAATGAGTCACCCCATTCAGCCAGACATGGGTTCGAGAGTTTTCTAAATAACCACGTTCCTCCCTTTTTAATTCCTCCATTCCCTATTCATTCTCTCCACGCAAAAAGTTTTAAAAACCAATAAAACGCTACAGGCATGCCTTTGGTCGTGTGATGCACACGGTCAAAACCTCTTGGATAAGATACTCCAAGAAGAAGAGAAAAAGGAGGAGGAGGAGAAGAAAGAGAAAGAAAGGAAAAGAAAAGGAAGAGGAGGAGGAAGGAGAAGAAGAAGAAGATTACTCCATCCCTAACTCCTAAACAAACCTGTCTCCCTCATCATCTGCCTGCCTTCTGCAAACCGTCTAAAAACAGCCTTCCAGGCTGCAAAGAGCACACAAGACGGTGCATTTGTTTTCCAAAAAGAAGAAGTTGGAGTCCAAGCACTAGAGAAGCTGCTGGTGGTGGTTTATTGTTTGGTGTTGTTGAGTCAAGAGCATCACGACCCCATGGAAAAATAAATGTGCACCCTGTTCTAGCCTGTGACTTCCTCATCTCTGACACTCAGCTGTCCGTTTATTCTCAGAAGGAAAGGGAAACTTGGAAACAACCAACCAAAGTATCATGTCACAACTTGACGAACATATTGGCAGTACACTGTAGACGTCACAGCTGATGATTTGTGCAAAATGTGGGGTTTTGGCGACCTTGCTCCCTTCCCCAAATAAAACTACAAAACCGTGATAGGGTATCATGAATAATGGAATAAAACTGAAATAGTACATGAATAGGAAGAAGCAACTTGAGAAAGGTGAGGTGTTGAGACAAAGTAATGTCAAAGATCTTTCCACCCTCAAGCGTAGTAACTTTAAAAAATGACTATAGCAAATTCAGTGTGTACTAAAACACTTTAAAGGTTTACCTTTCCAGCAGCCTGTTCTTTTGATTTATTTATTAAAAAAAAAAAAACCCACACCATCTGGACCTCAATTTGAGTAAACACAGTATCATATGAATGAAGAGTGTAGGTTTTAAATTTTCTACTTGAATGGCAGCCCTTTGACAACAAAAATAGTCACACATTTATCAGAAGGAAATACCTCCTTGTTGTTTGTTTGTTGTTGTTTTTTTAATAAAAAGGAAAAGCTCAAGGAAGCGTAAGACCCAAGATGACAGAAGTGGCAGGAATAGCATAGTTCTTCTGAATGGTTTTAAAACTGTGCACTGAAATGTAAACCCTTGACAAGATTTTCCTTTGACCTTTTAAAAGCAAATTTCAGTTGGGGTTCAGAGGCATGTGTGGCTGTATCCCACCCTCCCAGGTAATGGGAAATTTTCCCCTGGAATGGGTACTTGAAAGACTACAGTATGGATGGCTCTAAACTACCCTCCAGAATTGTTATTCAACATACAGGCTTTCCATTTAGCACTTGTTAGCAAAATTCGATTGTCTATTACTACCAATCCTAATTTTCTAAGGTCCAAGAAGTCTGTGACCTTTTGTCAAGACAGCGTCTATGGTAGAAAAATTATTCCTCAATCACGAGCATTGAATCGAACCCAGATGCCACACTCAGTTTGTCCCAGATCACACACCAGGTGGGTCATTTCAATAGAGACCATGTATTGACATTGCTAATTAATAGTGTTCAACAACATGATGGCAAAATTGACATTTTTCATCAGCCGGGATTGGACAGACCATTTGTAACACAGTCCAGACTAATCTTGGACAGTGCTGTATCCATGGGGG